GTCAAAACCTATACAGTGCAGTGTCACACCACACTAATAATATACATGGTCAATGTGGAAGGGTTGAAACGAGGATTTGATTGGCCAGTGAATTTGTGTTCTGGGTTTTGACTAATTCGTCAATCGATTGTCTGTCAATTTGGTGCTTTGGAGCATTGAAATAACTCTCCAAGTTCGAATCATCGCATGGAGAATAATCACATCGACTTGTACGAAGAAGCTATGGGTAAATCAATTTTTTCACTTGTCCTTTGTATGGTAGGCCCTCATCGGCGGCGTCGATCGAACGAGCCACGTCCGCGTGCCACGTCATTCTATCAACACCACCGGACGACGGTTGGACCGTGCGGCCTTTCTAACCATTTTAGCTCGCCATGGCATATCTAAGCATACGTTGGTGCAGCCGCATGTGCACCGATTAACATGGACGCAGCAATTTCCCCAGAAATTGCTCCATGTACCTCATGGAGAAACTTTACCCCATGGAACAACATCACTCAGTCGCTCTGTGTCGTCGCCGGTGCCGCTGCAACCAGACTCGCTCCAGGTCCGTTGTTTTGATTCCCTACTACTAAATTTAGGTTGCGGAGTACTAGTACTTACTAGTAGTACCTTCAACATTCCAGTGTATACTAGTACTAGTATTGTGTTGTGAATAGTATGCATATTTGATGAATTGTATGAATGAACCATTTCTAAAGTTACCTTTCGTAGACAAGGCACTTGGTGGCGCCCGAAATGCGGCTGGTGCTGGGCAGCCTTGTAGGTCGTGCTCCCATCTCATTGGTCGATTCATGTCCAAACAACAGCGTCCACGTGGCCGTTCGTGTGCCTGGGGTCCCGCACCCCTTGTGGCCTCAATCTACCACGTTCAACGATGCCGTGGACACGACCGCGCCGTTGCATGCATTGCACACCAAGTTGCTCGGCAACGTCAGCCATCGGTACACTGTGCCCGACACAACGCCGCCATTCGGCGTGGCTAGTGTCGAGTACTTGAAGCAGGTATGGGAGATTTTGTGTTATGAATTTCCGGACCCCGTTCAATCTCTCCCGTTGGTCCATCCTTTGACAATACTTGTTGCTGATTGGCGGCGGCTACAATCTATTTTGATTTTCTACCGGAAAGAGCGAAGTGGATATTCAGATGTCTCAGCGCGGTTTGTACGAAAAAGGAAAACTTTGACGAAAATCGACAATAACATTTTTATTTTATTACGATTGCCAAGTAGTAGTATGACTTTGGGGTGCTAACAAGTGTCTAGATTCCGCTGTTTGAAACACTGGCCGACCATGTATTAAACGACTTGGCTGCGGCGTTCGAAACCGTCTCGTTCCGTTCCGAACACGATATCGCTGTCGTCGGGCAACCTCGGCGGTACGTTAAACTACTCAATACATTTCATATATATATATATATTCGCACCACACAACCACC